ATTTGTGTAGCTGACAGAATTCTCTATTAGGATTGTTAGGCCTGAAGACTTCCACAAAACTGCATGAATGAGAGTCTGCGGAAAATCAAGATCTCTAGAACCATTTTTCTAGCTCCATTTGAAGCTTTTGGGAAAATATTTTTTTGACAGAACAAATGATTATGAGCAAGATTAGACGACGTTTCCGACTTCTCTATGACCGTCCTTCATCGAACTGCATTTAATTTATAGAAGGCCCAAGAAATATTTTTCTTTTCTTTTTATTGGAAATTTCAGTACTTTTGTTATGGTTGACGCTTTGAAACTTTCTGTAAACTGTATAGAGTTCAATGCAGGGAGGCCACAGAGAGATTGGAGACGACATCTTATCTCGCTCAGAATCATTTGCTCTATCAAAATAAAACATATTCCCAAAATCTTCGAATGAAAACCAGAAAGCTGGTTTTAGTAGTCTTGGTTTTCCATAGACACTCATCCAAACAGTTATGTTGAAGTCTTTCGACCTACTAATCCTGATAGAGAAATCTTTCAATTACACAAATGTTTTTTCAGATTTTTGTTAGTTATTACCATCGAGAAGAATATTTAAAAAAAACAATTGCTCTAAACTTTTATCTGTTACTATATATAGTGAACTAAAATATATGAAGTTAATGTTGCTTTACTAATGAGAGAATTTTGACAAATGATAAATCGCTTTTGAAATAAATGTAACTTCATCAGATAGACTCTATTTAGATGAGAGAAACTCTGAAAGAATTTGTTGTTCATCAATCTTTCATCTTGAATTATGCCCATTTTATAGAAATTTTCTACAAAATATTATAATCACTCTCAGACCATCTTCAAAATCGATTTTCAAAATCAAATTTAGCACAAATAAGATTTTTGATGAATTAGTTCGTCCGAAAGCAATCACGGATCTTTTTCTTTGAAAAATTCATTAAAATAGCTATAAATTAAAATGAAATGCTAATGTGTACAAATTTTTGTAGGCCGTTTCTAGTTTCAATAGATTCTATCTAATAAGATAAACTCACTCATGATAAGTGATTTGTCACTTGTTGAGATTTCCTCATAAGTCCATCAGCAAGAAATTCGAACAAAATGAAAAAGGAATAAATGTCTTATAGAGAATGTTTATTGATTAATGATTCTCTAACGATATATCTGATCTTGAAAAAATGAAACTGACATGTTGTATTCTCCTTTGCAGATCAAAATTTTAGGAGATGCAGTCTTAATTAGTGAAATATTTAACAGAATTGACATTATCTTATATTTTATATATCAAAGAAGAATACATTCGAACTGATTTGAAATTTTTCTATTCTTGAGAAACTACAAGATTTCTATCTAGAGAAAATTTTAAATTGAAATAGAAATAATCGATCGAAAAAGTATTATAAACAATTTCTATTCTATAAAACCAATTTACAAGATCAATCGATCGAACATTTTTAATATCTTAAAACATTGTTTATCAGAAAAATATTAGCTCAAGAACTCTGAATAATTTCTTAAGATTTCTGATAGACGCTCGCAAATAACTATGAAATTTAATACGCAATAAGAAAGAATAACTTTCTTTTCAAATTCAATATTCGATTATCTCTTAAATTTCTCTAACGTGAGAACTACTTTGACTATCTCATGAATATCTTGAAAAAAAAAACTACATCTAATCAAATTTTACCATTTAGAAAATTCTAAAGATTATAAAATCAATTTACAAAAAAAGTTTAGATTGTATTTTCGTTTTGTCAATCATCTAAAACAAAAAATAAATAGAAATTTATTTTAAAATTCTTATTATATTTAGATGTAAATTTCCTGGTGCTAGTATATATGAATCATTAATATCTGTACCTCAAATTTGGAATCAAGTTCAAGAAGTTGAATTATTTGTTGATAAATATGTTACTGATCTTCATATGAAATATAATTATATTCATATAAAACGTGGTGAAGAATGTTTAGAAAAATTAACACCAGTTATAGAATTATTAAAAAAATTTATTTCATCATTTATTGAATCAATGAATGAAGTATTTCCACCACAAGTTGCTATTGAATGGCTTGAAACTTATTTTATGAAACGTTATCGTTTGGTTAATGAACGATATGAATTTATACAACGTGCTATTCACGAACAAAAATCATGGTTACCTAGACCAATACCAAATCTAGAAAAACTTGAAATGAATTATAAAAATAAAAGATAGTAACTAGAATAATAATATTACACAAAAAAAAACCTACATGCAATAAAACTAGGTGAAAGTTTATTATTTTCTACTTAAATATTCTTGTTAAATAGTTTTGGTGACCGGACAATTCGTCGCGACGATATAATATAATTATAACTTATCATTAGTCTTTCATAAATAAATTGATCTTTTAAGATAAGTTAGAAATACATAATCCAATTATTATGAAAATTGTATCAACTATTTTTAATGACTAAACTTTGAATTTCTATTTCGGTTTGTATCATTATAAGATATTCTGGCTTGATAAAATAGCACCGTATAAATCATCGATTAATTCAAACTATAGTCCTATCAACTAAAAGTAGAACTTGAATTTTGATTATTTTTGTCAAAATTTTTCTAAATGTAATTATTCACTCTTATTTGATAGATATTGTATCTATACATGATTGGTGTGTGGTTGTGTTGAAACCAATCTTTGTTAGTGAACACTAGATTCCATTTGTTTTCTCAAATTATTGTCCTATGTGTCGTAAATCTTGAGCTACAATAAGAATTGAATAGAGGCAGTACCACTTTTGCATCTATAAGAAAATTTTTACCGTTGACATATTTCAAATAATCTAACTTTTTATGTGTACGAGACGATTATTGTATTGTTCGGAATCAAAAAACAAAGTTTAGTCATTAAGAATAGTCTATACAATTTTCACAATCATTGAATTATGTATTTCTAACTTATCTTAAAAGGTCAATTCATTTATGAAAAAATAATGATAAGTTATAATTGGATTATATCATTGCGACGAATTGTCCTGCAACGAATTGTCCTAGCACTAGTAGTTTTGTGAAACACGATCTAAAAGGAGCGTTGAATTATATAGGATAGAAGTTTCCACCTTCGCACATAGACCGTGACAGGTACTAGCCAGAGGCTATCACAGACTGTAACGGACATAGATATAAGATCACAGACTCTATATCAATAACATTTTGTTCAAATATTTGAATTACTTCCATATTAGATTTTTGGAGGACTAAGTAAAAGGATGATGAAGAGATATGTTTCAAAATAGATAGAATAAAGTAATGTCCTGTGATTAGCAACAGCAGCCACATTGTGTTTTACATTTTAATCCCACAAAGATTGCACTGATAGCTTTTGTTTTTGTTTGTACATAGAAAAAAATAAATGAATATTGATAATAATTTGTATTCGTTATTTAATGATATATACGTTCTCTTATTCTATTCATTTTTCATCAGAAGTCATTATCTAACTGACATTAAAAAATGAAATAAATGAAGAAGATAACACAATGATACTATTGATACACTCAGTTAGTAAATACAATATTCATGATATTAACAAGGGAACATGTTTCAATGTTCTTCTTAGAAACAAGATGAGACCTAGCCTATTTTGTAGATAATTTTTCGCTAATCATAAATATCAATATCTTAGCTGTCACTGACCAAGCTTTTAAAAAATGTGAGGAACATATAATGTTATTTTTCCTATGAGACGAGTATCTTCACAAAAAAAATCAAATATCTCAGAGTTAACTATGAAATATCATGTTTTGTATAGAATTCTTTTTTCATCATTTTTATAATAGTAATTTTTCGATTTAGTTGAAAAATAACAGAGATAGAATACTAATACGGGAACGTTAGTACAAATATGCAAGTACATTTTTGATCATTTCAATATTTGCATTGTATCTCTATTATTTTACAACTAAATCGAATAATTATTTTTACAAAAATGATTAGAAAAAAATTCTATACAAAATGTGATATTTTGCAGTTAAATTCTAAAATACTTGATTCCTCATGAAAATACCCACCTCATAAGAGAAATTATATTATAGATAGATACTTGATGGATCAGAAGACATCATTAGCATATTAGATAGACTAATACTCTAGTTATAAAATGATTCTATCAGTGGCTCTTCTAGCACCATTATGAGGGTAAAGGGTTAGCTGTTATCTGACCATCAAGAATATTATTTGCCACTTTTTGTTTTGCGTACTGGACATTTAACTTATGACGTTAATATTTGTAAAATAAAAGTGTAGGTCAAATGTTTTTAGCAAATTAGCGTAACTATTTGAATAGATCCGAATCATTTAAAAGACAAAAGCAATAATTCGAAATCTACTTTGTATGTTTTAGAAATATAAACTTAATAGAACAATAATTATTGTAATTTTAGTTTTACTTTTCATAACTATCAACGTTATATACTGTATAAAAATGAATCATTCATAGTTAATACAGACATTAGTTATTTTATCTTTAAAACTTACGTAGTTCAGGATCATAAGCATGTATATTTTCACATTCGAATATCGTCTTGTTTGTATACTACACAAACAAAATCAATAATGATGACCATTTAAATAGATAGTCACGATTCATATAGCGAAATTTTACACTATGTTTCAATTAGATTACTAATAGAAGAAATATCCATTTTGAAAATTGAATTTATTGATAGAGTATCAGGTTAAGATAATTCAAAATCTATTTATTTTCATAAAAGAAAGAGAAATTCAACCATTCAATATTATCAAGAGATATGAATAATTCAAACAATTAGAAGAAGAATAAATATGTTAATTTTATTATCCTTATAATGTATTAGATTTATATCATCAAGATTTTAATGCTACGATCAACGGCGAACAATGTCATATTTATTTTTTCTCTTTGCTGAACGTTAGTGTCATATAAAAAAGTATAATATATTATATAAAATCGTTCATATTATAAAAAGATTAATATTTCGGAGGTTCTGTAACTGAAGATATAGCTGCAGCATAAGTTGGAGGAGCTTCTTCTTTGATGCAATGAACTGGAGCAATACCTGGCGATCGTGTAGCCATATTGTTTCTTGGTGAATGAATTTGAACTTGCACATGTCTTGGATTTTGTATTGATATTGGTACTCTTTGTGATGTTGGTCGTGTATTACTAGCACTTAATTGTATACAACATCGAATACATACCGATAAGATAAGAATACTTGTACTAACAATAGCAACAATTGCATAAGTTGGTAAGCCACGACAATCATTATAATAATATCCACATGACTGACCAGCTTAAGATATATCAAATACAGATAACAATTATTATTTAATGAAATCGTACTTACGAGAACAATAATACATCTGACGACCATAATAACACCATTCTGCTGAAATTTCTTCTGTTAGTGATAATATAATGAATAATACAAGACTGATAGAACGAAACATTGTTAACCAAGCTGTATTTTTATTGCCAAAAAGTAATGCTTCTCTACAGCATGTGATGAAACAACACTGAAAACGTTAAATATATAGATGTGATATGATGTCATTGATAAGACGGAGACAAAAATCTTCATTTTTGTCATCTACGTAAAAGAAGAAAGGTAGTAGCATATGCAACACGTGTTCTAGAAGCAGTTGTCTTATCTGATAAGTTTTCTTGCATTTTTAGTCTCTTTAAAATTTTGAATTGCAACAAGATTGTATACTTTGTTTTAAATCTATATGTATTATCTTGAAATAAAACTAGAATTACAATTAAACATATTTTAGAACGATGAAAGAAATTACATGAGAATATGTAGCATAAATATGAACGTTATAAAGTTTAAGAAGAACAGATTTTTTTAAAAATAGTTCGAAACTCATGATAGTAAAATACTTGTTTATCATTTGCTGTACTCATATCAATATAATCAATTTGTAACATCAATAAAGTTGTTCAAGCATAATATATGTACGATGCTGTTTGTATTATAATAAAGATCTTGTAATTCAGACATGATATACTTGATATCATTGATTAAACATACTATTGTCATTGTTGTAATATATATGAAAGATATAAACGCTTATTTATCAGCGTATTTACTTTTCATTACGAGAAATCGATCATCACATAAAATAAGTGATACATTCTATATTATTAAGATTATTATTACGACGAGAGCTAAAGACGAAAAGAAAGATTACATAGATGCTAAACATACAACATGCTTATATAGATTTGTCATCTTTGAAAATGTTGACATAGATGTCATATATTACTTCTGATATCAAGCTGATATAAACTGGTTCATCAGTGGCAACATCTTATCTATCACGCAAAACTTTATTTTGCATTTAATATAATCTTATTAGGATTCTATAACAATCAAATAAACATTAATACAGTCAATAGCTTTCGTCAGCTTGAAAAAATAATACATCATTTGTCATTGCAAACCACATTTATTTTTATTTTTATTTTGGATTTCTGAAAATCCTCAATAACAAACTCGCAATATTCTGATCTCGCAATACAATTTAGTAAGAAGCATCGGTTTATAAAATCCTTTTTCAAAAAAATACAGAAGATTTTGGTTGTAATGTTATTAAAGACGTGTTTGTATTAGAGCCCTGTAACCGAACTCAATCCTCGAGCATGTGAGGGTTTAACTTAGAAAAGTGTCACACTTTTATCTCGTTTTTTTTTCTAATGCAATCTATACTTTTCAGGGTTGACGTAAAAGTAAATATGTCATAAAGTTATTCGTTTCCGTTATCTCAAAATACCGTAGCAATGATTCCAACAAATCTGAAATGCTTAACGTAACTTATCCTTCTTTTATAAAATACGGACAAGTCCATTAAAGCTTATACAGATCATTGTACTCTCATAGTTCAAATTAACTACAAAATTCTCCATGACTATCGATTATATTAGAATTTTACATTTTATTAGCTTGTTTAAATTAAACAAATACTTGAAACGAAATTTCCATTATTGTCTGGCAAACAAAATCCATAAAACAATTAGTAGAAATAAATATGATATTAACATCTTAAAGATCTGTACTTGAAATTGGAAGAATATCTTATGGTACTTCCTCGATTTAACAGAACAGATTATTCTTTGACTAAGAGATTGTATTGTGTATTAATTAGTAAGCTGTTCATTTTCATATCAGTTCAAATCTGGTGTGTATCGAATTATCAAGCATGATTGTGTCACGAATATTGACCACAGAATACTGCAAAAAAAAGACATGAAATCTCACATTGAATCTAATCAAACCGATTTAGTAAAAGGTACAGCCGAACCGAATCATGATGCTGTGGTTCGTGAGAGTGTCGGGCACTTCTTCACCTACATCTTCATATTGCATTCGGTTACAAACTCTCGAAATGTTTCATCGAAACCAAAAATCAAGTTACTTGAGTGTTTCTGCATTTCTTGTGTCAAATTTAGCAAATATAGGATATATCGATGTTGAATGCATCTGTGAATCAACGATATAATAAGATTATTGATATAAAGTTGCTTCTGGTGATATTTTCGTGAAAGTTTTGGCATAATTTCGATGATATTTAGTAGTTCACTGTTTTGATTAAGACTGATATTTATTGAGAATAGTGCAAATGACTGACTGTAAAAAAATAACAGTATAGGATAAAGAACAATAGGCATAGAATGGGCTAAGTCTTATTTTCCATGTCGGTTGCACAGTAGATACAACTACGAACAAAAAGAATTCAATAAAATACTTCATATTTTATCTGTTTGTGGCTTTTGTCTGCTGTTTAAATCCTTCTGAGAACTCTCGTGTTGTCAATAATCATGAACAACAGTCTCGTTTGACATCGGAAACAAAAATCTACAAAGTAGCTATCAATATTAATTATGAATATGATTATATTCATACAAACAATAATGGTACTCATTCAAAAACGACGTTTCTATTTATTCACAGTTTTCCATCATTACTTCATTCTTGGTATCATCAAATCGATTATTTTTCAAAACAAGGCTACGAATATCTATTGGTGAATACGGTGATCTATGATAAAACGTATTCCCCATTGAACAAAGATGAATATAGAGCAAAGAGTCGATGATCAATCGTCTTATTTCACTTCTTGATTATTTACACTAGAACAGAGTAATGGTTGTTGGACACGATTGAAGTACCAAACCTGCAAGTCAATTTGCCTTCTATTATCCAAAACGGACATTGAGTCTTATTCTAATTAGTATTGGATATCCACCACCAGCAATATTTGATCTTGATAAAATCATAGAGAATTTTCAAGCAATTTGTGATTATGAAATTTTTAGTTTGTGCTCGGAATGAGGATAGCACAGTTTATAAAATTAAGCTTGAGACATTCGAATCAAAAAAGCAAGACGAAACGAATTTCTTTGGCAGCAACTAAAAATATGTTCATACCAAAATTTTCCACCAGTACAGTAAACTCATTCGCCTGTGACTTTTGAAACACAACCGATCTCCTTGTGGTAACTATTCGACGAGTACATGCATTCTAAATTATCTATTTTGACCTATAGGCTTTGATCTTGATAACTGCAATGCCGGTGGATCTTTGTTTTGTTGCATCGCACAGAAAACGCTTTTATTTCACACAAGTTCCTAAGCATACGACAAAATGGAAGAAACCATTGATTCCTAATGCAGGAGGTTTAATTGTTTGAGGATCGTGGCGAATCAATTAACACTCTCAAGATACCAACTTCTCGTTGGATCGGACGTTGGTGTAACTTAAAATGTGTCCCGCATCAATTTGGTTACATTATCGTGGGTGTGAGTGTGAATAGAGTGAAGAAGCGTACTCTTATACGTCCACATCTACACTCTCTTCACTAAATAAACTTGTGCTGTAATTATGTGAGCTGCATAGAGAGCAGCGCCATATGCATAAGAGATATGTCAGTATCTGATGTTCTAAACAATGAACATCGTTGTCTGTTGACCACATTCTATTTGAGTGTTTACTCTTAAAGAATGAAATCGATTGGGTTATATTTGATGAGTAGTCCAACTTAATAGGAATGTTTTATCTTATTTACAACAAATAAATAGCTAAGTTTAATTCCATTGCGTATGTTTTTATGATGCTAATATAACAGATTTTCGGTGATGGCTCATCAAATGATATTTATTTGTATCCAAAAAGCACAAAAATATCTGTTTTAATCGTTTTTTTCTCACGCAAATTTCTGTGATGTTTTAACTGTAAATGCAATTATTCTGAACTCGATCAAAGAAAATATAGACATTTCAAAAATGAATATTTTTGAATGCACTTGAAAAACAAAAGGAATTCATTCTTAATGAGTTATAGTTCTTCTAGTTATTTATTGAAGTAGTCCAATAATTTGGGATACACCACAACAATAGCTATGAATTTGGCAATACTGGTTGAATTCTTCTGGAGAAACATTATCTTTGTAGAGCTGTAGCGTAGCATATCCAAATGCCCAATACGACAGTTTTATATTTCCATGACCATGACGATTGAGTAATTCATCTCGATATATATATATAATCTACGTTTTATATATTGTGCTCTAAGTTTGATCCACTCGTCATTTTGACCTAATTTAGTAAAAATATTTTCATAGTTACTGAGATCTGTTGTGAACAAAACATTTCCATTATTCCAAACAGGTTCATCACTGAATTCATCGTCTCTTCCCAGAAGAAAAATTTTAAGTATTTCCAATCGTCTAGGTATATTTTCATTCAAATGTAATAGTTTCCGCTTTAATTCTATAAATCCTAAACTCGAGGAATTTTCAATAGTCAAATGAAGATTTCCATGTGTGATGCCATCTCGCATCAACTTGATAATATCACTATGTGAATTCGCTTGGAGAATCGATGTAATCAAAAATGAAACTGATTCAGTACGTTCCAGACGTCGTTTAATTGCTAAATCGGGTGCATATTGATTTTCAAATTTTTTTCTAATGTATTCTTGTATCATCTTCTTAGCAGCTCGTTTATTGCCAACGTCGATAATTTTCATCTTTTCATTATCGCTATCTACTCGACTGGCCTTTGTTGTATATTGTAGCGCTTGAAAAACGTTAAAAAATTTGAAAAACTTCAAATCATAATCGATCTGGAAAGTTTGACATATTGATTCTTGATTGATTGGAGGAATATTCTTAATACTATTAGTGTTAGAATTGACTACGGCCGAAATGAATTTAGGTAGTAGAGTAACATAATCAATGTAATAGGCTGTTGTAATTAGTTCATCCAAATATTTCTCATCAATATGGGCTTTATCATGGAATTGAATTTCATCTAACAATGGTTCATTTTGAAATAATGGTTGTACTGGCGTTTTATATTTGTTTAGATCGAGTCCTACCAATTGATCCAACATTTGTTGTGCTATCAGATCAGAATCATCTCGATTTTTGTATTGTCGACGTATAGCTTGCCAAATTTCGTACGTATACAAAGCCCGTAAAATTTTCGGCATGTATTGTAATTTTTTTGGGTCATTTTCGCGATACAATTTAATTAGTGGACTAATCATATTGGTAATACCATTATTTGCAATATAGTAAGATAATTGAAAATCTTATTCTTTGATGTATGGTATAATATGATCAAAATAGTTTCCAACTACGATTTCATAGGTTTTAACCAATTTTTCAAATGATTCCAAATATAACTCCGATTTATTCTCATTCAAATCTTCGACTAATTTCCAAATATCACCACAAATTGTATAACCAGCAGTCATTGGCACATCGGCTAATAAACGTCTCATACCAATCGATGATGTATATTCCAAAATGGACGGAGCATACGATTGTAAAAATTGAGCGATGCGTTTGTCATCAATGATTGGAATTACATTAGTAATGTCTTTGTTTGTAGCCGGTGTTTATAATGGTTTACCGCGAGATTGAATGAATGCTGTTATAACATCCAACAAACTGACATAAGAATCTAGATATAGCTCATTGACGCGCCATGTCATTGGATCAGGAAATTCACCGATAGAATCTGAACAAGGAATTCCCACTAAATTTGTCATTTACAAAATGCCACATTGCATCAACATCATCTAATAGATTCTCATGAGCCAATTGACAGATGGCACATATTCCTCCAAGAGTAGTGTCTTGAGAATAAAATGATGCTAAATATTCACTATCATCAATATCCTTGAGTTCATCAATGTGTTGAGCCATATTGCGAATCTCGTTTCGAAGAATTTCATTGAAATCTAATTCTTATGCAATAGCACGTCGTGCTAAACCGCGTGCATTCTTCGATGATATATCCATTGTACGTAAATACTCAGCTTGTTGAGCTGAATTCAATTGAGAAACTTTATCATCATTAGCGATCTGTGACATACGCATAACAAGCGATTTTTTTCTTTCGAGCAATGGTACTTTTCATATGTTGTAAACGGGCACACAAACTAGAATCATTCAATAAGACAGGTACATTATTTTTATTAGCTAACAAAGAGTTTTCAATACGTTGGAAATAGTCAAGTATGATGTTGATCTCCTTTTCCGATTCAACTGTATTGACAACTTTGAGAATTTTCAATTGATTCATAAAATATTCAATTTTCGTTTTTAATAGTTTTTCATACGTATCAATAGTCAATCCACCAGCCATTCTATATCTAATATTAATGTTACCAATAGTTAATTTGTCTGTTGATAATTTGCTTAACCAGAATAAATTTTCACCGAGTGTCAAAGAGATTGCGTCTGAATCGTTCATTTGCCATGGTGTACTTTTCAATATTGGTTCGGCCGATTTGAATAATGCACGTCGATTAAGACTATCACTAGAAAATAAATTGACAACTGTTGTCGAAATTTCTTCACTACTTAGGTTTGCTTTTAAATCTAGTAAATTCACTCGTCATACATTGGTCAATTGCAATAAACTTGAAACTGCTCTTGTATCAGGCTGAGCTGTAGAGATAAATAGTCGAACAGCTTGCGAATTAATGATAAAATCATTTTTGATCAATGAAGTCAATTGAGTTGCTTCTATTTGAACTCGATCTTGATCAGCTACATCACCATCCGATATTGTTAACAATCGTAGAGCATGACAGTCTGTTGGTAATTCAATTAGAATAGTTTGAATTAGTATTGAAATGGCTAGTGCCATATAAGTACAACCTTGAGATTGAATCTTGAACTTAGGTAGCTCTTTAACTGGTATAGTATACTTATTTGCATTATCGTTAAATGTAATTAATGTAATAATTTGATCGTTAGCATAGTCCAAAGTTTTGAAGATTCGCGGTAAAATTCGATTGACAAATCGGCTAACAAAATTACCCATCGAACCAGAACGATCAAGAACAACTATCGTTGCAACCTTTAACTTCGAGAGAAGAGTTTCATCCGATGTAGTTAATGAAAGTTTTCCAATGAAACCTGTTTCATTTGAATACAGACATAGTTCAAGTTCTGATTCCGATGTCATGTTATTTTCAGTTCAGAGAAAAATCATTCAGAATGTTATATGGTTACAGATTTTTTTTTGTAGTAATAGCTTTTTTTTTACCTTGGATGCGTGTAAGTCACTATTGCCGATCTTGCACAACATTTCATTATTTCTATTTCATAGTTGCAAAGAAAGAGAACATGTGTCTACACAGAAAAAGGAGAAAATAGCCTATTTTTTTTTAATCGTCCTTGATATGCTTGAGTACAATTCTTTTTCTTCGATTCTTGTCGTCTATGTGCTCTTGTAAGGTATACATAACAACCATGCAAGAACAGCATCAAATTCTGTTTTTCATTTTTCTTTCTGTTAACGAGAACTAAATGTAAAATGTTTAATATTAACAGTGTTGTTTTTTTGTAATGTAAGACAACTGATAATCTGTTGCTCAATATCGCCCATTCATGTAACTAGAAGTCGAAAATTCCGTTTCAATATCTTCAATTGACAATTTATACAAGAATGCACGAAAAGATCTTGCAGTGACTAATCTTTTCAGTTAAGCTCTGTCGCATTGAGCATCCGACGTAGTATGTGGATGAAGGGAAGGCACTCATAACCACACATATACCCACACACAAACTCCTACTTACGCTGACATCCACTATCAAAAGTATATCATTTTTGGGAATCTTGTTACAAGTTTCCTGAAAGTTGTTGTGAACCACCTTAATTGCCTATAGTTATGTTAACTGACTATTTGATGGGTTAACTGGCGCATAGAGCACAATTTGTGTGATCTGTATCGATTTGTATTCGATTCAGACCATGATAATACGTTGGTTGATGACTTCCTCGAACGAACCTGGAGCTTTCTAGGCTTTGTGGCCTTCTTTCTGAAACAGACTGCAATATCATATGCAACTTTCGTTGGTTGTTCCGAAGCACCTAAATAGATGAATGTATCGTCATTCATTTCGTTAATGTCATCCACGAACATGGCTGTTTCATTCAAAGTCACCATCTCTATTTGGTACTGCTTCAACTTGTTGACTAATAGCTTTCGTTTCGTAAGATGATAACATAATCGTACATTTCATGCACCAATCAATATTTCCTCAGATGTATTTACACGACTTTGTACCACTTTTTTTAGCCATAAATGATACTCGTTGATGAGTGGCTAGTCTGATAAAAGAGAGACCTGTGTAAAAGAGATGAACTACAGATCTCAATGGTACCGTGCAGCACTGCAAGTGGTATTAGATCTATGCTTTTGTTAAAAACACTGCTGCTATTAAGGGTTCACAAGAAAAGGTGCCTACTGATTGTCGAATATGACTCGATGTTTGTTCGTTCGTTCATATAGTAGCACGCACAGAACGATTTCGTTCGACAGTTTTCGATCATCGAATTTCGAAATCTACAGGAAACTACTCTTCTATTGATTTCTGTTTCATGAAAGTGATCGAACTTCACCTCTTCGCTAGATCATCGGTTTTCTGTGAGTTAGCGACGAAAAAAATTCTCTTGCGTTGAAAGGAAATCTTTGCTCAGATGTTTGGGAATCTACTATCAAGAGATTTCGGGAGACACAACATCCAGTCTTTCGAAAGGCTTTGCTTTGAACCTGTTTGCTTTCGTCATTGATGAATCAATTTTGAAAGAAAAAATAAAAGAAATTCACTATTTATCAATGTAAATTATCCGTTTGCGGCACTGAAATATATTACTGAGCTATTCCAAACCGAACGATGTTTTTTTACACTATCTGAAATGATTTCACTTGTTGATACCACTCTGTTGATGATATAGCTGATACTTGATTATTCATGGACGTCTGACGTCAATTGACACACGTGAATAACAAACTTTTACAGGTATCATATTCGTTTTGTAGATATCACCATTTGTTTGACGTAGGTAATACTTTCACTGCGTTATATTTACAACACTAATAACAAAGCATAGCAGGTATAACGTTTCTTTATGTATATTTGTCATTCTCTCATTCTTCACTTTGCCGTAAAGGTGATGCCCACGCTTCAAACGTCATTCTTTCTTGTAGTGTATTATAAATATAGAGTGACAATAACTCTCCGATAGAATCGTATATCAACGAGTAACTTCAGCATTTGCTCGACGCTCTTAAATCATTTTTATGATACGAAGCGTACCGATTAAAAAATAAATTGTAATACACTCTTCTCATATCATTTACGTATATTGTAGACGAACAATGAAATACATCGTTCTTCTTTTTTTCTTTGCTATTCCTCATTCTGTTCAAAGTCGTACTCTTCCATTCAATGGCGACATGCTACCTACAATTGATACATTAAAGATGATCAATTCCTCAGCCGTTCAGCTCGTCTGGAAGCCATCGTCTTCACTTGAAAGTATTGATCTTGCTCAATTGTCAGGCACATTTACTGTCAGCCTTTATACAGGCACTAGAATCTATACACACAATAGCATTACAATTTACGGCTTGGATAGACTTAATTCAACTGATTCAATCACTGTCGTCGGATTACATCCAGATACTATTTATCATGTGTGTTTTCAGAGTAAATGGTACGAAAAAAATGCCACTATTGACGACGAAGCATCTGGTGGAATCAAACGAAGCGAATGCCGACTATTGCGAACATATGCTAATGGTAAGCCAAATTGAAAGCTTGAGAATCATTACAGTTATAGAACAAGACAGAATAAGGTATTCTGCAAATCTGGAAAGCCTATGAGGAAAAGTAAAATTGAATACGTTTAGTAGTTTATTAGTCATTTTGTTTGGTTTTTCTGTCATAGAAATGTATTAGTGAAATTTAAAAGTTCTCTCTAAACACATTTAAAATAATTTATTTTACCGGTAAAATAGTTGACCATTTTCGAAAACATGTATTTAAATCTTGAATCATATTAATTTGGCTATTCAATAATAATAATCTCAGATTGTCTATTAACATTTTGATGATGAGGATGAAGGAAGCAATACAATAATCTTTCTACAAAGGTCAATTTAAAAGTAGAGATACCGTAAATCCGATTCGGACTTGAAAGTTCCAGTTTCGACTCAAATCCAGTCAGTGTTGATCATTTCTTAAGGGATATTTTGGAAAATGATGCTTCAAGCAAATTTCTCGTTGGCTTCATGTAGATAATGCCATTGTTTAGTCAAAAAATTTGTTCAGATCTTATAAGCATTTTCGAACGAACGCAAATCTTGATTCTCTAGCAACCAATCACTTTTATGTTACAGAGAACGTATCATCAGAAGTAAAGAAATGAAATTTTTACAAATTCAGCTCTATTCAGTTGTGGTGGTAGGTGTTGCCCATATGTTAAAACTAATTTCAGATGTGCATCATCCGATTTGGAGGAGAAATTCGCGTCACACAGAGATCTGCATTTTGACCTATGATGTTATGATAACTCTTGACTAAGTTGCTTCTTTTAGAACGAAGTTTTCACTATAAACTATTGGGAGTCCAGTACGCATTCACAAATAGTTCAGTCAGATCGGCTGTTCTTAAGAAAAAATAGATTTTCGCTAAGGAGTTGCCAAATTGTTCTATCTAGTTATTTGCGATATAAACAAATCGATATTAGTCATAGTGAGTCCTAGGCTAATGCTTCTTGTTTCACAACCGTTCACATCTTAAAGTTACTCTTTCAAATGATTTCACATTGATTCTTTATTTCATAGACGAAATAACGCTACGTCCTGTGCCGCCAGTCGGTGAATATTCATGGAAGCAAATAGTGAACAGTAACGGAACAAAAGCAATTATTATCAATGTTACCGTTTCTTCAGAGCTGCCTTATACAATACGAAATATCACTGTCGAACTTGATTCCAAAAGTCAGACTCAAGTAATAAGAACACCATTCGAGACAGTTCAATTCATGTTCGATCATCTCAATTCAAATTCAAAAGTCTATCCACTCTCGATAACCTTCAGATTAAGTGATACGGGAAATACACGAATTGTAACAAACACAATCACTGATGAAGTGAACACAGAAGACAAAAATGGAAATGGTCGACTTCTTAGTAATTGTTTTCTTTTGATCTTTCTCGCAATATTTATTTTTTTGTAATATATGGGTAACCAATAAATTAATCGAACGCCTAAAGTTTGAATGTCAACAGTTCGAAATTAATTATTCATTTGACGAGAGCACATTTATAGATGTAGCATCAATTTTGATAGGCGACTATCTGCATTAGGTAGATCCAATGGACTATGATCTATCCTTCTAGAGTAACTGTCCATAGCGTGTTCCAGGAGAATTATTGAATTTTCTCATTGGAACCATTTTTCCAAAGAAACCATGTTTTCAAAATTTGATCTGAAACTTTACCCAAACCACAACTTTACCTAGACTATACGTCATTAGTTTGTATAATATAATTAGATTTTTGGAAAGTCTTTTGAAGATAAAAATTTTTCAAAAGATCTATGCTTGACATACCACTTATAGAAAATTGTTTATTTCTTGGCAAATTCATATCTTCGAAAGGCTTCGTTCAAAAACTCTGAAATAGTTTCTGGTAAAAGTAAGATAATATTACTTCGATGGAAAACTACAGTCCAACCTTAAAAATCATCACAGATTCTCGATAGCTTACACAAAACAAACAAATACTGGATAATACATGATCATCAAGACATCATGGCCACGGGAATTCAGCGATAAAGTCTAGCTCGTTAGAGAAATTCTCAAATCGCCTCGGACCCCAATCTCCAATTGTGGTATCATATGAAAAACATTAATCATCAACAGGATGAGGGTGTAAGCGGGTGAAGAAGATACCCTTAGTTACATCCACCGACTCACCTTCATACACACATACACACTCAAGTATTGGTCCGATATGATCCAAATAGTCAAGGTTATATTCGATCAAATTTCTCATGCTAAAATCCAATTGATGCCATAAATTCTCGAATAGTATCGATCGTTTGTCTGAATGCTTTTTGATATAGTCCTACAGTGACAAAAATATCACTGATTAAAGAATTATTTTTTAT